CTACATTTCTGAACAATAATTTTCCACATATATTCCTACCTTACTATCTAATTGAGTAATCTTCTACACAATATTGTACCTTGGTTTTCTTATGTGAAAAAGGAGGAAACTTCTGGTTTTCTTTACCTTTCCATTAAAATTATCAACTGTAATGTTAGTAAAAAAGCCCTGGTGGCACAGTGAGTAAGCACATGGTTACTAACTGAAAAGTTGCTGGTTCAAACCAACCCAGTGGCTTTATTGGAGAATGATCTGGAGACCTGCTTGCGTGTTGTTGGGTGCCATCGAGTCAGTTCCAACTGCTAGTGTCCTTGTGTAAGGTTTCTGAGTCTGGAGATTGTTACATACTGTTCTCCCATGGAGCGGCGGGTGGATTTGAATTGCTGACCTTGTGATTAGCAGTCAAGTGCTTACCCTACAGCACCACCAGTGGTCCTCCATAAAGACAACAGTCAAGAAAATCCTATAGGGCCAGTCTACTCCATCCTGTGGGATCACTATGAGTCCGAATCAACTTAACAGCATAAAGCACTTAATCTCAAAATATTATTTTATTAATGAAATTCAAATTAAAACATAAAAATTAACCCAGAGTGTAAATAAAACATAATGAAGACAGAAGAGTACAATATGTTGGTACCTTCAACTTATCCATTATAATGCTTTTTCATACCATATCTTCATTTCAAAAATTCAAACAATGTCTTAACACCATTTTCCTGCTATTAAATCTTCGCTGATAGAGAATAAAAATCTACTAGGTGCTCTTGTTCTCCAGAGAATTCAAGGAGTTTCAAGCATGAAGTTAAAATTAGCAATTTTTAGCACATTATGATGATTTTCTTCAGAGAAAAAGTTCAAAAGTGAATTGACTTACAATGCTGCATTGCAGCAAGTCTGAAGAAATCAAGGCTCTGCCTTTATTCTTCTCTTTTATACTTTTAAGGTCAGTAACAAAAATAATAAATGTTAGGGCCAGAGCACAGAAAAACACACACACTTTAATAACTATGACAAGTGAATTCAAGTTTCCATTTGAGGGCTGTCATGGAAAAATGTGTCAGCAAAATTTAAAGTAAAAACCCTCTACTAAATGAAAGAGACTGTCATTCAACTGAAACATCTATTCAGAGATGAATGTCATGTGCTTCTTAAAAGTATCTTGAGACTGTTTAAAATAAATAAATAAGATGTTAAAGATACTTTCAGATTAGTAAATGGTCATAGACTAACCTGAAAGACTCAGTTTTGAATGCTTCAGCAACCTCAAAGTCTGGGCCCCAATCAATTCCTTAGAAGATTCTAGAAATACCTTCTGCCTGAATGTATACTTATTTTCAATCATTGTACAGAAGCTGTGCTCTAATCAAGCAGGCCAAATATTACTGCATTTTTATGTCTTTACAAAAGAGGGAATTCATCTTTCACTGAGACTGCACAGGATACAAAAAAAAAAAAAAAAAAAAAGAACCACAATTATTTATACCCAGAATTTTCAGCTGAGATCATGGTAGGACAGATAACTAAACAACTTTCAAGGAAGTGTGATAAATGCTATGAAAGAGATATTTTTAAAGAGCTGTGAGAAGAGCCACTGGTTGATTAAATCAGGAGATGCCTACTAAAGAAGGAGACTTTTGAACTGAGTTTGAGGGATTAAAAAAAAGACTACAAGATAGAGAAGGAAGAAGCACAGCCAAGGGAGACAAAACATCTGTCAAGGTATGGTGGCTAGCTCTGGGAGCTGTTAGAAGCAATTAGAAGGCTGCCACAATAACCTAGAAAATACTGAGCTAAGGCAGCAACATTGCATCTAGGAGTAAAGTATCAGTATGTATGCATTTGAATTGTATCTCCCATTGTTGTTGTTGATAGGTGCTGTTTCATTGGTTCTAACTCATAGCAACGCTATGCGCAACAGAACAAAACACTGCTCAGTCCTGGACCAATATCATAATTGCTATGCTTGAACCCATTGCTCCTGCTACTGTGCTAATCCACCTCATTGAGGATCTTCTTCTTTCTCACTGACGTTCCACTTTACAAAGCATAACGTCCTGTTCTAGGGACTGGTCCCTTCTGAAAATATGTCCAAAGTATGAGTCGTGAAGTCCTGCCATCCGAGATTCTAAGGAGCATTCTGAATGTACTGCATCTAACACAGATCTGTTTGTTTTTCTGACAGTTTATGATATTTTCAATATTCTTCTCCAACACCATAACTCAAATGCATCAATTCTCCTATAGTCTTCCTCATTCATTGTCCAACTTTCACACGCATATGGCGGTGGTGGTGGTGGTGGTGGTGGTGGTGGTGGTATACTGTGGAGTTGGTTCCGACTCATAGCAGCCCTGTGCAGGGTTTCCAAGGCTGTAAATCTTGATGGGAGCAGAAATCCTCATCTTCTTTCCGTGGAACGGCTGGTAGTTTCGAACTGCTGACTTTGAAGTTAGCAGCCCGACTCGTAACTGCTATGCTAGCAGAGCTCCTTACATGCACATGAAGCTACTGAAAATACCATGACTTGGGTCAAGCTCACCTTAGTTCTCAAACTGATGTCTTTGCTCCCCAGAGACTGTAGACACTGACATTCAAGCATGCCATTCAATCCTAAATTTTGAAGATATCTCAGGCAAATTGTTGTATTTAAGAGTTGTATTTACTCAACATGTAGATAATGTGTTAGTTTTATTTATCAGATACTTACTCAGGTTGCTTTTTAAACATTTAAAATGTGCTTATGAAGCATTATCACTTTAGTAATTATATGTACTATAGTATCCCAGGAACTCTGGGAACATAGTGGTTACAAGTCAGTGTGCTAACCTCAAGGTCAGCAGTTCAAAATTACCAGCCGTTCCATGGGAGAAAGATGAGGCTTGCTTCTCCCATAACAATTTACAGCCTTGAAAACGCTATACAGGGTCACTATGAGTTAGAACCAACTCCACAGTACACAACCTTCAATACGGTAGTACTCCAGGACTCCTGATGTGGCCCTTTAGGATCATACCAGGACTGTGAACCACAAGATCAGCTCCTTAAACCCAACAGTTGCTCCTCGGAAATACCAAACAGGGTTGCTATGAGCCAGAACCGACTCAACAGCACTCAACAACAACAAAAAATAACACTCCAACTAATATATTAAATATATTACCTTGAACTGTAGTTTGATATTTTTCTTAAACAGCAATAAAATTACTCAAATATACTTTCTTCTTCAAACATTAAGGCAATATAGCTCAGATAAGTCATATTACCCATTAACCCAATTTTACAGATGTATGAAGATCCTCATGAAGGGGATATAATATTTTTTTTACCCTAGGTCCTGAAAGGAGTCAAATGACGAATGACTGGATAGACAAGACGGTCTCTAATGAACAAACGGTGCATCTACTCACTGCCCCCGAGTGGAATTCTGACTCATGGTGACCCTGTGGGGGTGGCTATATGCCGTGGAGTCGGTTCCGAATCACAGCGACCCTGTACAGGGTTTCTGAGGCTGTAAATCTTGAAGGGCAGACTAGAACTACCCAAAGAATTTCCAAGACTGTTATCTCTATGGAAAATGAGTGCAGGACCTTTCTCCTAAAAAGAGGCTGGTGGGTTCAGACGACTTAACCACTGTACCACTAAGGATCCTTGAACAAATAGTATAGCTAGCCAATAGGCTTCAATTATAGCTTATTCATTCATTCATTTATTAAACATACATTTATCAAGAACTTGGGCCTGCTGAATACAAAGATAGGTCAACGTGTAAGTGCTAATACGGAGGCTTAGCTAGGCAACTCAAAAATAGAAAAGGAAGGGCCCTCACTTCTCAGCAAGCTCAGGAAAGAATGACCTGAGTTTTGGTGATTATGAGTTTGTCAGTCAAATAAGAGAGGGTAAGGCATTCATTCCATACACAGCAAATGACCACAGCCCACTGACAAAAATACTCTGGGTCAATTTTCCTATTTGGGAAACTCTGAAGACTACAATATAAGTGGGTGTAGTGACATGAGAGAAAGAACTCTGGAATTGTGGTGTGGCACTGTACAACAACCACACGGTCAGCAGCTGTAACCCACCAGCTGCTCCGCAGACACCTGATACAGGATAACAATTAGTGAGAACCACCTCGACAGCACTTAACAATAACAACTAATGCCATACCACGAAGTTTTGGCTTTATCCCATAGGAAATATTGAAGCACTGAAGAAATTTAAGCAGAAGATGAATATAACAAGATTTGAATTTTGAAAAGATCATGTAGGCTAGCGTTGGGAGGAAGAACTGAAGAGGATAAAGAACTGATGCTCACTAGGATGGGAGCAGTCAAGTAGACAGGAGCTACAAGAGCTGACAGAGAAATAATAAAAGACTGGAATCAAGGCAATTGGCATAAAATTGTTGTTGTTAAGTGCCATCGAGTCGGTTCCGACCCATAGCGACCCTGTACAGGGTTTCCAAGGGTGTAAATCTTTACGGGAGTAGAAAGCCTCATCTTTCTCCCACGGAGCGGCTGGTGGTTTCGAACCGCTAACCTTAAGGTTTGCAGCCCGATTCGTAACCACTATGCTACCAGAGCTCCATAAAATTAGGGGTTAGGAAAAGATACTAGGGATTTAGAATCAATGGGACATAAGAGTGAAGGGCATGAAGAAGAGAAAGACAATTCTAAGGACTTTAGGGTTCTGACTTTAGTAGCAGGGAACTTCATGTTGCCACAAACTGAGGTAGAAAATTCTAGGTTCAGGGGTAAATCTCCAAAGGTAAAGTGTCTTTTGTTGATGGTGGCGATGGTAAGTTGCTGAGTTGGTTCTGACTCATAGCAACCCTGTATAGGGTTTCTGAAGAGTGACTGGTGGTTTTGAACCACCCACCTTGTGGTTAGCAGTCCAGTGCATAGTCATTCATGGGATGGTGTGCCAACCCTGAAGCTGTGACATTCAGATGCTTAGAACCTGCTGCAGGGAATATAGCTCACAGTGCCAGTTGCCATACCTTTAGTTCCCAGGAGGTCATGCCTCCCCCTGGGTACAAACATACTAAGGCTAGTCCGTTCCTGCTCCATATAGGAACTGTCTACTAGGCAACTTTTGCTGGGGAATTCCCCATCAGCCTGCTTTAGACTTTCTCAAAACCAGACTACAATCTGAAGCTCTTCCCACCCAGTCTGTCCTTCTCTGTCTCTTTCCACAGATGTCAGGCTCGCTCTTCCTGCCTAACGGTCTTCCTTCGTTTTTTACCCTTCACAAGCATTCCCCCAATAAACCTCTTGCATTAATCCCGCTGTAGTATCTGCTTCTCAGAGGACTCAAACTGACACGAGACAGTATGACATACCAACACCTCCAGCAGGATGTCAAGTAAGCAGTTGAAATGACAGATATAGGAGTCACTGAAACTTGGATTAGAGTGGACCTATCCCAGAAGTATCCTCTATTTTATAACACATTGTAGAATGTGCTAACAGCTGGAGAGTGGCTTCTGGCAAGAGACAGGCAACATAGGATATTTGGATGAGGTTTCAGAGAACCTAAATTATGATACGGTATTAGACATCATATGCAGGGGAGCTTTTTAGCATCAACTATGATTATAATTTGAATCTGTCTATATAAATAAGTGACATCCTATATTCTTAGATCTTCATGCCACTATTGAAATATGAGAACTGGGCTATGGGCTTGCTTCACCCTGCCCAAGAGCAAAATGCTAAGTATAAAATCGTTAGGGCAGGAAGGGTCACTATTCTCCCGTAATTGAGAACCGAGTGTTCCTCTGGTTAGTGGATGCCCTTCCAACAAAGTGCTGTCTGCCATGTTCCCAATAACACACTTAATCCCCTTAGCACTGTACTTATGAACACAATTTCAAAGCTTTCATGAGTTACATAAATGATAGCAGGATGTGTTTGTAATGTATTTTAATACTAGTTCTGTCTCAAACTTACCTTGAATTCTTTTTGAAAAACATTTGATTGTGTTTTAGGTAAAAGTTCACACAGCAAATTAGTTTCAAACTCAACAATTTATACACAAAAGGTTCTGTGATATTGGTTGCTATCCCCATACTGTGTGAATACTCTCCCATTTCCACCTGACCTGTCCAGCCAGTTTCCCTGCCCCTCCTTGCCCTCTCATCTTTGCTCCTGACTAAATGTTGCCTGTGTGAACTCCTACAGCTGATTGTTCTAAGGAGACATTCCTCATGGGTGTATTGTCTACTTTATAGGCTAGTCTCTTACTTGTCTGAAAGGTGACCTTCAGGAGTATCTTCAGTTCTAGGTTAAAGGTAGCTAATGGTGAGCAACTTGGGAGTTCCTCCAGTCTCTATGTGTCCAGTAAGTCTGATCTTTTAGATAATACCTTGAATTTCTTCCATTGCCTTTGTAATTTGCCAAATTATTGTGTATACACTCGAAACCAAGAACAGTTGCTAATGGTAATGATAATGATGCAATTTTATTCATAAACCATATAGAAATTGTATCTTCAGTCAAATCTAAATGGTTGAGCTCTCCAAGTGATAACTTTATATGTTTAGGTTTGCAAAAATCATAAAAGTAAAACTGCTCGTGTTTAAGTCCCATAAGCTGCCAACAATGGGCTTGCACCCAGCTATTCTGGCCTAAAGGTAAGCTCACCTAGGTAGAAGCCACCTGGTATGTCCTTAAAAGAAAAACGAAAACAAAATTATAGTTCTTAGAAAGGATCTACAGCGTGTGTGGATATGGGCAGAGAAAAACCAAGACAATTACATTTGTATTTCAACTTTTCTATAAAAAGAGGGTAATCCTTCTATTTTATGATGTCTGCACTTTCTATCTCAAGATAATGCATATAGTTATATTATGAAATCTATGTAACATTGCATTTTGTATTGAAGGCTATATAAAAACAGTAATGGTACAAAAGGCTAATGTGCTCAGTTGCTAAGCAAATATTGGAGGTTCAAGTTCACTCAGAGTTGTCTTGAATAAAAATACCTGTCTACTTCTGGGGGACCAGTCATTGATACTTCTTCCCATGGGGCAGAGTTCTACTCCAGTACACATGACCTCACCTTGAGTTGGAATTGACTAAACGACAACAAAACAATTAGTAAATCTGTGAGTGCAACTTATTGTCTGCCAAGTTATCTGGACTGTACCACTAGGGCCACTGATATTATGGCAATAAACATTTTTAGAGACATTTGTAAATTATCAAACGCAGGACAAAATACAAAATGCAGTTGGTAAAATACCAAATTCCCCTGAAGATATTAATGAAGATGGCAAGGGAAAGATTTTACATTCTAACTTTTGGTATAGAATTGGCCACATTACATAAAGAAACATAAATCAATTTACCTTTTTGAGCATCTGAATCCATTTAGTGGTGATTTAATGGACGGCTATATTTTGATGTTGTCTTGAACATTTCTTGAAGACTAGGCAAATAATATATTAAAATATCAAATGTTAATAAACTCAAAATGTGTACTGAGTGCTTTAATATTTACTGACCAATGTTAAATTTAAAATGTAACAGGGATAATTATACTAAAATATTATGTTAATAAATTATGATTTATGAAAATCCATGAAAACACAGTCTGTCTAGTACAAATCAGAACAAAGACTTCAGAGTCAGAAATTTTAGAAGCTGCTAGAAAAAGAAACATTCTCCACCTGACACTCCTTAAACTGTGAGAAATGAAAGTCTTAGATTGACTAGTAAAATGATAATCCTAACGTTGCAGTTTATTTAAACATTGGTAAGAAACGGGTTGGGTTCAGAGCTGTAAAACCATATTAATCTAACACCATCTCTTCTTCAGACAGATAGATGCAAACCCGACTGGTCTCACGGATGCTTCATCAGCACCCAGGCAGTATCAAACAGCCTGCCAAGTGAATGGTCTTTTGAGGAGCTTGTACTTTCAAAAGTCCACACAATGTCAACAAACAGATATAAAATTAAAGAAATTAAGGTATTTTATGCTTCTAAAATAAGAGCATACAGTGTGAGCAAGTTTAAATAGGTTGCTATTCAAATCATTGGAAAAACAATGATTTTGTTTTGCCTCGTAATTTGGGGTCATAAGTATCGTTAAACTTCTCATGAATGAATATAGCACCCCTTGCTCCCTAGAAGCTCAAAGTATTTCCCACAGTCACTGCATTTTTCTTTACAGTCATCCTCATTTAGTTATAAAGTAAATTACTTCCCCTACAGCTTATAAAAAAGAAATTGTATTAAATCACTTAGGTCACATAGTAAACAAGAGCAAAAGTGGTCACACATTTTGTTGCCTATTTCTTCCATTAAATAAAGCATTCTTTGGTACACACATCTGCCAGAAGTTCCATATTTATTAAGTCTGAACATACCTAAATGAGGCTCAGTTTCTAGAAGCTTAAAAAGTGTCATCCACAACTTTTGTTTTCCTGAAGAGATCACTATTGAATGTTGTTGTTGTTGTTTTTAAGTGCCGTCGAGTTGGTTCCGACCCATAGAGACCCTGTATAGGGTTTCTGAGGAGCAAATAGTGAGCTTGAACCGCCGACCTTGCAGTTCAAATGGCTTTTCAGTCTGGTACATTAACCCACAGCGCCACCGGGCAGGAAAGCAAGCAGTTTACTACTGTTCACACTGGCCACAAGGCCACACAGAAGGGATTAAGGATCCTGACAGCTGCCGCTTCAGAAGTCTGGTTATACAGCAATGCAGTTTTAGAACTCCCATAAAACAGGACTGACGAATAGTAGGATTATTCCATGTAAGTGCCTCATGGTAAGAACAGAGCAAGAACTAATACATGAATTTAAACCAGTCCTGAAAGTGAGTAAAGACTATCTGAGGGCAGTAATCTGTTTTTCAACCTCAATGCCAAGAGTTATTCTAAGACTCCAAGATTGTCTCGTGCTATCAAACAGAGAGCATGAAGTTCTCATGTCATTTGTCTGGGTGTAAAAACCATTTTTAGAATGAGACCACAGCAGAATGTTTGAGAATGTGGGCAGCATTGCTCTGGGCTCAGGAATCAAACTAGGAGAATTCCCACTTCTCCAGACTGATTAAGAAGACTGAGGATGTATGTCTGTGGCCAGCTCAGATTACCCATCATTTTCTCGTCACTGGAGATATCCCTAATGTAAAGTTATTGTGGGTACCAATATCAAGAGGCAGTGAGAAGTTTACCGTAGGAATGTGAGTATAGTTTCTAAGAAACACTTTATCTACTACAATTTATATAAAGTAGAATCAAGGTCATTATTAGTATTTAGAAGAGAAGTAGGAGTCTGGAGCTTGATTTTAGTTATTCCTCTCAATTATTACTTGATTATTTTAAGACATTCACTTAGTATGTTTCTTAGCTTCCTCATCTATAAAACAGGAATACAAAAGGCACACAATATATTTGTGTAGTGAATACTATAGGTAAAAACAAAAAACAAAAAAACCCTGAAAGGTTAAAAATACTAAACAACGCAGTTATTATTCAAAGGCAGTTATTTCAGGACAAAGAATACACCCTCTGCTTGGCTCTTTTTAGAAGAGAAAGAATGTTTTAGAAGAGAGAAAATGTCATTTGCTGACTAAAAGTCATCTGTCTTTTTCAAGGAGTTATTTAAGATTACGCAATCCTCAGTGTTGGATTTCTTCAGAGGCAGAAACTTTAAATTGTTTATCTAACAGGTTGACAATGATTACTTCGGTTATATTGAACTATTTATAAACTATATACACTTCTGCTGTATATAAGCTATAAGTAGCTTAATAGCAGACTTCTGCTTCAACTGAGAACTAGAAAGTAAATTTTAATCACATACATGCATAGGCATGCACGCATACACAGACATACATCTCTTAGAAGACATCACAGAGCCACCGAGGCAGCCAGGAATTCTGTGTGTTTGCCAATTAGTGTTAAGAAAGAGGCTGAGATGCATAAGAAAGTACATTTAGGAATGCCATCAGAACTTGAGGCAATTTTATAGACTAGGGGAGACAAAAGACTAGTGTATGGGGTTGTCAAGGCAGCTAGGAGTTGAAAGACTAAGACTGTAGAAAAAGAAGGGACCAAGAAGCCCAGAGCTGACTTTTCCTTAAGGCATTTCCTGATTAAGTTGTCAGGGCAAGAGGCAGATTTGCCAAGTGCTAAGTAACAAAAATCAGAAAAAGGACGAGGGAAAAGCAGGCTACCAGTTGGTAACCCTGGGAAATTATTTCCTAGCAATGAGGAGAGAAGATGCGGTTTTATAAAGACTGTAAGCCAGCCTTGAATCTCTTGGTCCCTTGATTAAATTGAGGTAACTGGCTGCTGGCCACAGTACCTTCTGGAATCCTGTCTAGAGGGAGACCTATGATAGCTTAGTTTTTCATAAAGAATGTCCAGCATTCAATCAAAATTTACTAGGCACACCAAGAAACAGATGATCACAGTAAACCCACAGGTGATCTAGAGGGGCTTAGCACAGACTTTTAAAATAACTCTGATGAGCATGTTTCCATGGCAGCTAATTATTTACTATGGCTCTTCTAGCCATGTTGTTCCATTCTGTGATGTACTGTAAATCCTAACCTCTGTGCCTGAGATTCTGGAGCTATTTTTAAGTTCATGAGGGAGGATTACGGTGTGACTAAGATTGGAGGGAGTCCTGGTGTGGCACTGTGGGTTAATGCGCGCCAGACTGCAAAGCTGTCTGAATTGCAAAGTCGGTGGTTCAAGCTCACCAGCCGCTCCTTGGAAACCCTATACAAGGTCGCTATGGGTCAGAACTGACTCGACGGCACTTAGCAACAACAAGGATTGGAATACACTGACAGGAAACTGCCAGAGGTTCAAGCCAAATTCAGACAAGGAAGTGGAATGAGAGATATCATTGCTGACGTCAGATCGATCTTGGCTAAAAGCAGAGAATATCAGAAAGGTGTTTGCCTGTGCTTTATTGTCTATGCAAAGGCTTTCAACTGTGTGAGTTATCACACGCTATAGACAACATTGAGGAGAATGACTATTCTGGAACACTTAGTTGTACTCTCAAGGTAGTCGTTTGAACTGACCAAGGGGACGCTGAATGGTTTCAAATTAGAAAAGGTTTACAACAGAGTTCTATTGTTTCACCATATTCATCCAATCTGTACACTAAGCAAATAATCTGAGAAGCTGGATTATGTGAAGGACATGGCATCCGGATTGGCGGAGGACTCATAACAACCCATGATACAACTTTGCTTGCTGAAAGCAAAAAGGACTTAAAATACTTACTGATGAAGATCAAAGACCATAACCTTCAGTATGGGTTGTACCTCAGTGTAAAGGATACAAAAATCTTCACTACTGGAGCAATAAATAACATCATGGTCAATGGAGAAGAGACTGAAGTTGTCAAAGACTTCATTTTGCTTGGATCTACTATCAATACTCATGGAAGCAGCAGTCAAAAACTCAAATGATGTGTTGATTTTATCTGCTGATAAGAACCTCTTTAAAGTGTTAAAGAGCAAGGATATCAATCTGAGGACTAAAGTGCACCTGACCCAAGCCATGGTATTTTCAATAGTTTCACATCCATGTGAAACTTGGACAGTGAATAAGAAAGATTGTAGAATTAATGCATTTGAGTTATGGTGTTGGAGAAGAATATTAAAATACTGTGGACTGCTAGAAGAACGAACAGATCTGTGTTGGAAGAAGTACAGCCACAGTACTCCTTAGAAGCCAGGATTTCTAGACTTCATCTCTCATACTTCAAACACATTATCAGGAGGGACCAGTCCCTGGAGAAGAGTATCATGCTAGGTAAAGTGGAGGGTCAGCAAATTAGAGGAAGACCCCAAACGAGATGGCCTGGCACAGTGGCAGCAGCAATGGACTCATCCATGATTGTGAGGATGGAGCTGGACCAGATAGTGTTTCATTCTGTTGTTGCTGAGTCGGAAACAACTCGATAGCACCTAACAACAAAAACTGAAGAGAAACCAAGGAGTCAGGATTAAGGTGGGGCTGAGTCCTGGTGTGGTGCTGTGGGCTAATGCGTCAAGACTGCAAAGTTGTTTAAACTACAAGGTTTGTGGTTCAAGCTCACCAGCTGCTCGTTGGAAACCCTACACAGGGTTGCTATGTGTCGGAATCAACTCGATGGCACTTAACAAGGATTAAGCATGTCCCCACTTTACTAGAGAGTGATTCATGCCATCACCCTTAGTTTTTCCTTGGCAGCATGATCTGTGTCCAGTATCTAGGCATGGTTTGGCAATGTTTGCTGTCTTACTTTGGTGCTTTGATCTTGCAACTGACTCACCTCTGACCTCCAGGCTGTGGGACTTGGGGTCAATCACCTGACCTGACTCACCACTCCCACAGCTTCATGCATCAACAACCTGCTATGTGACCTACCAATATGGGTTCCTCTGCTCCTGAAACTGAGCAGGGAAGAAGATTCCTCTTGATTGATCCATGAACTACAGATCTGGAGTTTGCCTGACTCCACAATTGTGTGAGCCATTTCCCTTTGATAGTTCTGAGTTCTATGAGATGCTGCAGCACATTGCAGAACACTGGGACGTGATTCATAGCAAGTGATTGATTATTCATGCATCTGATATGATGTATGTTGTTTAGTGCCACCGAATCGGAACCTGTAGAGGGTTTCTGAGGGGCAGCTGGTGGGAATGTATAAAAGTTCCCATATAGTTAGTTGTCTCCAGTGAAATAATGCTCCCTATATAGGTTTTCCCATAGAAAAACACATCTTTCTAAGATGTTCCTACAGTGAAATTCCCTCCTGCTATTCTTTCAACTGGATCATGAGGGGAAATGAGAAACAACAGAATATAGGACTTTATGCAGATCTATGGAACTGTCACAACTGTTATGAAAAATAAGGTTATCTTTTCTGCTGTCTTAAAGTAAGACGGAATGCATATTTAGTTAGTGCTAATCAATATAAACCCTTTTAAATTATATAAACCCTTTTTAAATTATAAAAAAATATATTATTTAAATTATATATAGTCAGAAAGCATAAGATATTAGAAATATAGATGTTGTTGTTGTTAAATGCCATTGAGTTGGTTCCTACCCATAGCGACCCTGTATAGGGTTTCCAAGGAGCTGCTGGTGAACTTGAACCACTGACCCTGCAGTTCAAATGGCTTTAGTTCAAATGGCTTTGCAGTCTGGAGCATTAACCCACAGCACCACACCAGGGCTCTGAAATACAGATAATGCCTGTGAATACAGAAAATATTCAAGTCAAAAACATCAGAACAAATAACACTAATAAATAAATAAATTGTAATGTTTAGCACCTATATATTTCAAATGATACTACAGAGACTATATAAATTTGTTTAATTTTATTATTTCCTCAGAGCAAATTCATTAGGAAATGTTACAGAAATCATATACACATACATATAGATACACAGAAAATACATATTCTTAGAACATTAGGTTCTTCTTTTCCTTCCTCTTGCATTTCTGAGTTTCCCTTTTTTCGTTGCAAACACAGACCTGGCCGTTACCATGACTACTTTTGTTTTCTTTTCATCCTCATCACTAGAGCTGCTAGTAGGCACGCCTTCGTCCTTCACATGTTCATGTTTCACTGTGTTCTGTGAATCTGAAGGACTGATTTTTGTCTCTTGAGCTGCTTTTCCACTTTGAACGTTAATTAAAGAAAGACTTGTAGCATCCTCACTTGAAGATGCATCAGATGATTGTGAGAGATAGGCCTCCCCCAAAAAACCACCACATTTATTCTCTAGCTTAGAATCAGAATGTCGTTTTCTTTTCAGGCTTGATGTATCTTTCAGTTTACTTGCTACGCTTCTCTTCCGGGTTTTTCGTCTTTCCTCATCAAGTAACTCAAATTCTTTCTCCATAGCAACAGAAACTGCTTCTATTTCACTGGCTGTTTCTTCCCGCTCCTTCCTCAGCATACATGTCACAGCTCTGTGAAGTCTCTGGCTCTTTATCCCCTTAGCATCTTGTTTCTCCTGTTGAGCTAATCTAAAGAAGGAATCAATTCGAAGTTGTGTCTAAAGAAATAAAATAATAGTAATTAGACAAGTAATGCATCTAAAACAAATCAAAGTGCTTAACCTTGCTCACTGGCATTGGATTACTATACTGCTGTTGTTGTTGTTATGTGCCGTGAAGTCGGTTCCAACTCATAATGAGCCTGCACAGGGTTTCCAAGGCTGTAAATCTTTACAGGAGCAGAAAGCCTCATCTTTCTCCCACAGAACAGCTGGTAGTTTTGAACTGCTGACCCTGAGGTTAGCAGCCCGATTCGTAACCACTACGCTATCAGAGTTCCTTGGATTACTATACTAGAGAATACTAATTCATTATCTCTCAAACACCAGTTATCTCATAAATGAATTCAATTTTACTTTCTATATTATATTTTAAGTAGTACTTATACCAACTCTGGCAAGTATCTATAACTTAAATATGAAATCTCTTATCAGGCATTCAAAAGTGTTCAATATTTTTGATAGCACATATATTATCTTTGTTTGGAGCAATATAACTTTAGAGTTTATTTCTAAATGCTATTTTCTTCTTTAAAAAACATTTTGATTATTCAAGTCCTTTAGGAAGTAATTTCATAGTCTATACCAGTACACATAAGATATATGTCTTTGGTTCAAGAAATTCAGTTTTAGGATAACTTAAAAAAAAATGTTACATATTAAAAAAGTTATTATCTAATAGCCATTTGAGCATTATTTATGAAAAACTGAAATGCAAAGGTCTAACAAGTAAATGGAACAAATAAAGATAAATTGCCTGATGAAATGTAATCTAGTCATTTGAAATTATGAAGACTATATAATAACACAAGAAACAAATGCTTAGGTTAATAAGTGGGGAGGGGAATACAAAGTATATTTTGGTATGTTAGCAAACATAAGTATGAGGAAAGGAGGAGAGAAAAAAGGGGAATAAACCTAGATGGTAAGAGCTGTATTGGAAGAGGTAAATAATGAACAATTTTTCTTCATTTTTTTACTTCCTAATTTTTGGTAAATAAATCCATATTACCTTCTATAATGAAAAGGGGAAAGTATTATAGCAAAATTTGTCTGAAATTAAAGAGTAACAATCACTAAGCTAAAAGATTATCTTCTCTTGTTGGCTTATCATATTTTCAGTAGAGAAAGTCAGAAGACAAAAAAGAGGGACCCTTTCTGGCGATGTTTATTCCAGTTTTTGTTTTATCTTCCCAAGTAACTAAACGTGTATTTGACTTAAATATATGATCTGAAGGGTCTCATGTCTGCTAAACAGCTTATTTGTATATGTTGTGAATTTGTTCTGCTGAGAAAGTTTGGTTTTGAGTGGGTAGAACTATAGTCACAAGTAGAGCAAGATGGAACTCTCTGTATGTTGTTGTTACTGTTGTTGTCGGGTGCCATCAAGTCGGTACTGACTCAGAGAGACCTTATGCCCAACAGAACTCCATCCCGCGCAGTCCTGCGCCCATCTCACAATCACTGCTATGCTTGAGCCCATTGCTGCTGCCACCGTACCAACCTATCTTGTTGGGGTCTTCCTCTTTTCTGTTGACCCTCCACTTAACCTATGTGGGTAAAGACCACACAAACATTTTTCTCTTTAAAAATCCCCCATCTATATAAACTTTTTTTTTTAACTTTTTTTAAAACAAGAAAGAACACCAAAGTCTAGCCATAAAAATGATTACAAAATGAAGACAAAGTCAAATTTTTATTCTTATATTTTCCCGTTTGATTATCTACTTTCATTTAAAAATGTATGTAGTATTACTCCCTAAAATAAAAGAGTTGATTGAGTAGCCTCCAATCACAGGCTTAATAATTTTAGTCTTTCTTCTAAACTTAGACAAAAACCCCACTATGATTACCTGCTGGACATTCAGCTGCTTTAATACTGGAAACAGAGATTCATCTGTCTTAGTCTTGTTCCATCCAAAATACCGCTGACAAAATATACAGGCAGTTAAGACTCATAAATGTTTTTAAAGACATTTTAAGTGATAAATCAAAAGTTCCAAAGAGCTCACCCGTGAGTCCCAGTATTTCTAAAAGTTTTTGTTCATAAAGTCTTGGTGTGGCACTGTGGCATTAAGCACTGACTGCTTAATCACAAAGTCAGCAGTTCAGACACACCAGCCACACCTCAGCAAACCTGATACAGGGCTGCCCTGAGTCAGAACCCACTCGATGGTACACACAAAAACAACAACAAAGATATAAGTGGTAACAGAAAATAATAATACAAATTATACCAACACTCCTTTAGTATTATGTCCCTTTTAGTACCCTCTAACTACTATCTAACTAACTACATCAAAGACTCCTGAGAAAAGAAGACAATCCTTCATTTCTTTGAGGACTGAAAAATAAAACCAAAATTAATTCTATTGCAAACTTTTCAACATCTATTCACATGTCAAACCAGGAAGAACAAAATTAACATTCTCTCTTTCTGATTAATGCATAAGTGGTTCTTGTTAAAATGTTACAATACCTTCCGGTTCTTCCCTTTCCCCTCCCTCCTACTCCATTTTGTCTGTTTCCCTACCCTAAGCTACAAGGTGGTAGTTTAAAGGACAACATGGCTTTTGATAGGCCAGCGCTAAATCACCCCAGCAATGACCACTCCCTTCCTGTTGAATCTATATAAATCCCCTCCCTTCCTGTTGACTCCCTCTTCTTCTTCTTCCTCTCCTCCCGTCTGCCTCCTGCCTTCTCTCTCTGGCAGAGGTTACCTTGCTCACCCTGAATAAAGCTCTCTAGATAGGCCACCTGGTGGGAGGGGTTGTTTTTCCCCTTTCAGTTCTATGTATGACTCTATAACACTGAGAGGGAAAACAGAAAAGGCTATTCTTAGGTCAATAGAATATATATAACAAATGGAGCAAGCTCAGGTTCCATGAGTTCGATACTAGAACGCAGCTGGAGCTCAGTGCCCTTTCCTGGTTTAAGGAATGAAAGGATATTCTCTAATTTTCCCAAGATCAGGCTTCCCCCACAGAAACGCTCCCTTCTTCTCATCTACTGTCGGCTTTAGGTAAGCTTCGGCGACAGCTGGGTTAGGAAAACCAGGGCTGAGCTGTAACTTCCTTAATTTTTTTTTCACTTTGGTGTCGTGAGGATTAGGTCTCAACTTCTTATTTTTTTGAGCTTCCTGCCACCACTCTCTGTAAAGTGAAAAAGAAACAATTACGTGTAAAGAATGAAAGAGACTGTAGTACAGGACTATAGAGTTCTATTTAAAGTTTAAAAAAAAAGCAATTACAGTAAATTCCGATTTGAATTTAAGTCCAAATTCCAAAACAAAGCATATCATCTCTAGAATATTATTACTCTTAACAACATTAAAAAGTGGTGGTAAGCATTACATTAATAAGTGCTGATTCCTTGCTTGGTACTGTTCTAATTACTTCCCCAAGAGCACACAGGAGAGACCTTGCAGAAACCTCACCTCACACAAGAAGATGCTGACCTCAAAAAGGAGCGGGAACGTCAAGATTTCACAGTCTGAACCTGACAATCTTCCTCCAGAGCCCACACTCAGCAACTAACTGTACATACAAGGTGATCCCAATTGTGGAAACAAAATGCATATATGTGGAAAAAGGACACAGAAATATTTTCAATAATGAAAACCAGTCACTGTCATTTTATTGCGCGAAGCAATGTTCTAAGCAGTTAACCTATTAACCTTTTTATTTTCATATGAAAAATAGGTAAGTTCTATTTAGTGTTTTCATTTCACAAATTAGAAACCATTTCATTTCACAAAGATGTAGGATACAAAAGATTAGAATGGAATGTGTCTGTCAAGTGGCAGAGTCTCTCTCTGAGAGACAAGAACACAACTGCTCATTTTCTTTGTATTTTATCTGGGTCTCATTTTTTTAATAGAGCATAAATTATTACAGAAGGTTAAAGAGGGTCACACATCTTTGACACGCCTCTCGTGTACGCCTTTTCCCCTTGAACTGGGTGTACTCTCTGCTTGACTTGAGAAGTGACACTGTGCCCGTAGGTGACTGCCGTTTCTGACTCCTGTCTCTTGGAATCAGGAGGCATGCTGTGACGAAGCCCAAGTTCCTGAAAAGGCCCAAATGGAGAGGATCCAAGGCCCCTGGGCAACAGTCAGCACCAACTTGCCAGCTAAGTATAGGCATCTTACCCAGAGTTGCGTATCGTCTCACCCAGAGTTGCCTTAAACGACACCATAAGTAACAGAGACAACACATCCCCACGCAACATTTGAGGCCTGATCAAATTGTGGATTTAGGGGTAAAATAAACAACTGTTGCTATCTGAAGCCAATGAGGTTTAAGGAGGTTTATATCACAGTAATCAAGAATCAGAAAAATGTTATGTAGTTAGAAAAAATAACAAAAGTTTTTTTTATGTTATTTTTTCAAAACACAACACAACCCTCACCAATCCACAAACCCAATGAAACCTAAGATAACACCTAAAGCGCCAGTGCTAGTCCTTCACGTACATATTTAACACTAGGAACTGATTGCTATTTGTGTCTCAACCAGTGTTTCACCTCACTGATACAGGTGCGCCACCTAGCGTTAAAAAATATAACTGCAGTCTTCATCACACTATATCTTAGGTTCATAGGCTTTACAAAACCGTTTCCAAGAGTTTGCTGGGGGGATTCTTATAATTCTACACCCCCTCCTTTTGTCTTTCATCTTTGAACCAGTAATTATGATTACCAGGGAGGAGTATGATCACAACACTCCCCTTATAGTATTAAAGCTCTGTATAGTAAGAAAGCCAGGTACTTAATATCAAGATGAAAGATCGTTGTTAATTGCTGTCCAGTGGATTCTAACTCATAGTGACCCTGTATAGTGTTTCCGTGAAGCAGCTGGTGAACCTGAACTGTCCACCTTGCAGTTCAAATGGCTTTGCAGTCTGGCATATTAACACACAGAGCCACAAGTATTTGCCAATTAGCATAGCTGTGGGGATACAATAGAAGGAGATGACACCAGGGATAAAGTAAGTGCAGGATTTAAGTATGGACTGAGGTGGCATGGTGGGAGAGGGGAATCACTACTCCACACAAATATTTTGGGGAAATTTACGGCCAACAGTGCCAGATTTCCTTTTCCCCCAAAAAAATCCAAAATTTTCTATAAAATTGCCCCCAATCAGTAGCTATTTCAAGATTAAAGGTCTGTAGAAGAGAGCATTAAATACATTAAATACAGCACAGTTTGACAGTGAATTCGGCCTGAAGGTCCAAAGGACCTCTGCTCTAGAAGATGATTTACCAGCCAGAATCTGGTTAGGGGAAATAAAAGCAAGACAACACTGTCAATGTTACTGTCTGCTGCTCCTTTCCTTCTGAACCTCGCATCCCCTCACATCTCCCGAGCCAGAATGGACACTGCTCCGGAGCCAAGCGAAGGCTGGAAAACCAAAGCAGAAATTGTGACTGTCGCTACATTTTTATGACTCTGAAACTGTAAACAATTCAATTGCCAACAAGCAAGCCAAAACTGCTGAACAAAGAAAAGGAAAATAATATAATGATCGTTCACTAAAGTAGATATGCAAATTGTTAATATAGATGAGAAATCAAAATGAAAAATTATCCTAAATTAAAAGGCATAGCCTCAAATATAGAGATATAAGGACACCCAAATAAATATGCTTTTACTTTTAAAAACAAAAAATTGAAAAGAATTCATCACTGCTGCTGCTGCATGTCACTGCATCGATTCAGACTCACAGCGACCCTGGGCAGGGTTTCCAAGGCTGGACACCTTCTACAAGAGCCGAAAGCCTCACCCTTCGCCCGTGGATGATGACCTTGATGTTAGTAGCCCAACGTGTCACCCACTATGCTGCCTGAGCTCCGTTATCACTATAAAAACAAACTACTGTGGAATCATTAAAAACAACTGCTATGATGCTAATAATATGCTTTCTTCTGTCACCAAATGGGCTGCAGGCAACATAAAAAGTCTATGCAATATCGCCTCAGTATTAAATCTGTGCCTATGTGTGTACACGATTTCATTCCAGCAACTTCTTTATATATAAGCTGGTTCAGATAGAAAATGAAGCTCCCTCTTTTTTAAAATTCTCATTATTACTGCCTAAATCGGATATTTAATGTTGCCAATGGTGACATCACTGTATATGATGGGGATGAGTATGTGCTGTGGAATTGGCGCCAACTCATTGTGACCCTGTATAGACTTTCCGAGGCTGTAAAGCTTTACAAGAACAGAAAGCCTCATCTTTACTCTGTGTAACCACTGGTAGTTTCAAACTACTGATTGTGAGATTAGCAACCCGACTCATGACCACTACACGCTACCAGACATAACAAAAACTGGAGGGTCCTAAGTACGGTTCAAGGTAATTCAAAGATGTCATAAGGTGGAGACTACCTGATTATATATACACATATGTCATAGTGTGGTGCTTGCTCTAGGATAAGCACTGGACTACTTATTGCAAAGGCAGTAGTTCAAACCCACCAGTCACTCCTTGAAAACCCTATACAGGCTCACTATGAGTCAAAACCGACTCAAAGGTACTTAACAACATAAATACATACACCCATGTACCTGACACATAGGGGCTACTCAATATCTGAATGAATATAATGGTAACTGTTACACTTCTATGACAGGACTGCGCTCTGTACTTCTGAACTAGGATAAGCCCGAGACCACTAAAAATACTGATTCTGAGTTCATGAAAGTCTAGAAAAGACACATGTTTTTTGTAATCCCACTAACACTTCCTCCTATTTTCTTAATGAATAATGCTTTGTGACAGTTCCTTATGTAGGTAATAGTTTTACTGGATAATTTGGATACTTACATAAACATCTGAATTAAAAAATTAAAAAGCACTTACGAGAATTTCAAGAGGGGTTCCAGGCCATGTCCAGGGAATTCATTGAGAATTTCCATGGCTGTTACACAGCCCACAGTTGGAACTCCTTCTGTATAATCACTTCCAAGCAAATAGGCCAAATTTATTAATTTGTTCCGGTCCAATCCTGTAAAAGCAACATCCTCATCCAACAATATCCTTTTTTGCTATTTGAAAATAGATTCTTTGCTTTAAATTCTGTTAAGACTTTTTATTTAATCCTAGACCTTTAAATATACATTGTCTCCGAAATGTAGACATCTGACCTAGATCTTGCTTCTGGACTACAATCACATAAATCCACCAACTAGCAACTATCTGTATCTCCAGGTGGATACATAACAGGCACCTTGAGTTTCTACGGGTCCAGACCTGTGCTCTGCATCTCCCCCTGCTGGGGATGGCTCCTCCCAGCCCCCCTCAGCTTATTCAACAGCAGGTCTATCCAACCAACCATTCAGGATGTGGAGGCATCTTTGACTTTTCTCCTTCCCGCACATCACACAGCCATCCCATCTGAAAATCCTTTCAATAGCACACCAGGCCCCCCTTGATTCTGGCCTCCTCCTCCGTCCTCTCTGACGTCAACGCTTGCATTCTCTCTTCATTCACTGTTTCCTTCTCATTCTGAGAGCACCAGGTGGACATGCAGCTCAGGCCTTTGCCTCCCCGAGTCTGTGTGTCTGATCCACTCCTCAGTACGAGGCCTGCTTCCTATTCCTTCAGGTGCCTGTCCAACGTTCAACTACTAGGAAAACGTTCCCCGACCAGCACTCAATCTAAAACAATATCCTGTCTTTCTCCCCTCTATTTACTGCTTTATTTTTCTATAGAAACATATTATATATATAGCTTCCAGATCACATATATGTCATTTTTAAGTGCTGTCAAGCCATTTCCGACTTATAGTGATCCTGGTACAGGGTTTCCAAGGAGCAGCTGGTGGGTCAGAACTGCCAACTTTGTGGTCCACAGAAGTCCAGATTACACACACACGCATAAATATATATAACATAAATTATATATACATATAACAAATTATATATACATGTATAATTGATTTCTTTTCTGTTTTACCTATTAAACTGTTTTATTCTCTGCTGTGTCCCCACTGCCACGGGCAGCAACTAGATGTGTGGTAAGAGTCTCACAACCTGTGTTTGTTGAACAAATGAATAATCAATGCCAGAAACACTAACACAGAACCATAAGGTTCAGGATTCTAGTAGAACTGATTCCCACCTGTTTCCTCCCTCTACCATCTTTTCCTTTACTCTGGAGATCTCAGGGTAACCTGTGCTGTCCAACCTGCTCAGATGATTCAACTGCAGAAATAGCTAAACAAACTTGGATTTTAATTTAGTTACAGACAAGAGATCATTTATATAAAACTTTATAGACGCTACCATTTCGGTGGGAGCACAATGACTCTGTAGGATAAGCGCTGGACTTCAAACCACAAGGTTGCTGGTTCCAGATCACCAGCTACCCTGTGGGAGAAAGACTAGGCTTTCTGCTCCCATAAAATTTACAGCCTCAGAAACCCTGTACCAGATCACCATAAGTCAAAACCGACTAGAGCATTTGACAATAACAACAACATTGGTTTCTATTAATTCATCATATTAGTTCCCTAGGAAGAGAGAATGAGTTAGCTGCAAGTTCTAAAGGTAAATTTCAGGAAGTAATTATATTATGAAGTCTTACCTAGTTGGTTGTGAAAGTCCACATATTGGTAATATTCTACCAGTTTGTTTTTATTAAAAAAGTTTTTATACACATGCCGTGCTCCAAAAAGCCAAATATCACTATCATCAGTGATTGTTCCGGAAGTCTGATCAGTCAGGTCCAGGATGGCACACTGTGCCTCTGCCTCCATAGGAGCCTCGATATAGGGGATGCCAAACAGGCGAAGCAGCTCCTGCAGAGTGACAGACACCAAGAGGGCCACAGACATGCATGAACGAGCCTTATTCCAGAGTGGGAGCTGCGCTTTAGGGGAATCAGGGTAAATTGAAACATGAACAGGCATTATTTACGGTGAAGTCAGCTGACCTGGCTTTCCAAGAACATCTGCCCTGTCACGGTAGCAGCGATCCGCTCTTGCTGCTGTTTCTGAGCTTTCAGTGAATTCTGCTCTTCTAAAAGGCTGCTCTCCAGAGTCTCCAGTTCTTCCTGTGGAATAATTACATTAGTAGATAATCTTATTAATAATCCAATGAAGTTCATTTGCTACAAAAAGTCTGCATGCAGTCTGACTGAAATTACCAATAAGCTTTTTCTCCTTAAGAAGTATCCCACTTGGATTTCTGAGCAAGATTCGGTAGTATCCCTCACTAAGTCACAGGGAAGCAGACTCTATCCTAGACAGTAACCTACATAAAAAAAATGCCATCAGCAAGAACACAAAGATGCATGCAAATAACTAATAAATATTCACCCAGAAACTCCTTGAAACTCCAAAGTACTTATTTTCCTTAGCAAAAAGTTAAAACACAGTGTTACACAATTACCAAATTAACATCTTGCCATTCGTTCCAAAGATCATCTGCATCTTTCTCAGCTTCTTCCTGTGGCTCCACAGCTAAGCCCTCGCTTTCAGAGTCACCCTCAGAGTCGCCTGAAGCTTCTTCCTCCTTCGTCTCAACCCCGGTGCCCTCTGCAGCAACTGACATTCCACCCAGGTCAGAGGAAGGTTTCAAAGGCTCAGGTAACTCTGCTTGGTTTTCATCATCACTAAGTACGCTGTCCACTTCAATGAAACTTCCTGTACCAAAATAATAAAGTCACTTTACAACCTTGAAATTGTCCTGAAGAAAATGTTTTACTCTGAAAAGAAAGCATTTGAATTGAAAATACAATGATAACTTAGACCTGTTAAGTGATTTTCATTCAAAAATGCCTGTCACTTCAAAACAAGCTTTTTAAATTAGATAAACTGGCACTGTCTTCGATATTAAGAATAAAGCTTTCAAAAAGATTTATATACAAATAGGACCTAAATGAACTAACAATGTTTAAACAATTCAAAAAGGAGAACTAATACAGTATGTACGTCTTTCCAAAGGGTGCTAAAAATGGTTTGATGTGATTTCACCATTAACACAGCAAAGAGCACAGCTCCCCCCATCCTCCTCCCTCCCACTCCCTTTCCTGTCAGGGTTGAAGGAACAAGACAGGGATCAAGATGCCAGGTGTGAACGCACAGGGACTGGGGGCTAGCCTGGTTACATTCAGGGAAGGAACAAGCAAATGAGGAAATTAATAATTAAGATAATGAAAGCAACATTTCTCATTACTAGGAACAGAAACTACAAATATAGGTGGAAGGAACAATGAAATACGAGCTATTAAATTGAAGCTGGAGGTAAACATGACCGCACGGATTTTACATACCTATCTATATGTTTGGAGTCCTGGTGTGGTACTGTAGGGTAAGCACTGGAACATAAGGTAATTATGAACTGCAAAGCCAGCAGTTCAAATGAACCAGCCACTCTGGAAACCCTATTCAGGGTTGCTATGAATCAGAACCAACTCAACAGTACTTAACACCAACAACAATCTATATTTATATACATGGATGCATTGCTGTTGTTATTAAGTGCTGTCGAGTTGGTTCTGACTCATAGCGACCCTGTATAGGGTTTCCAAGGAGCAGCTGGTGAGTTTGAACTTCCAACCTTGTGGTTCCCAGTCTAGTGCTGACTCTACAGTGCCATATAAACATATGTAAATGCTGCTGCCACTATGTGCCATTGAGTCTGTTCCAACTCATAGAGACCCTGTATAGGGTTTCCAAGGAGCAGCTGGTGGGTTTAAACAGCTGGCCTTGTAGTTCAAACTGACCTGTGGTCCAGCGCTGACCCTAAAGCCCCATAGCAGGACTCTGAATGTACAGACAGATAAATAAACACTGCCCAATCCTGCGCCATCCTCACAACTGTCATTAAGGCCACTATTGCTGACCCTGTGACAATCCATCTTGTTGGGGGGGGCGTTATTCCTCTGTTTTGCCGATGTGTCGCTTTTCCAAGCATGATGTCCTTCCCCAGGGACTGGTCCCTCCTGATAATATGTCCAAAGTACAGGAGACTAAGTCTCACCATCCTCGCTTCTAAGAAACATCAACTCTCCGTTGCAGAGGCAGCGCTTCCCTAGTAACACTCTGAGCGCCTTCCAACCTGAAGGGCTTACTACATCTGACAATGTTCCGCTGTTCTTCATCTGGCTTACTGAGACAAACCATTCACAGGCGGTCCGCCTCTTCTTCTTTCTAGTCAGTCTTGGTCTGGAAACTCTGCTGTAAACTGTCCACCATAAGTGACCCTACTCTTATTTAAAATACCAGTCGCATACATCACAGCAACACAGCAACACACAAGCCACCACAGTATGACACACGAGTGCTGACACAAATATATGGACACACACAGAAATAAATATATATGTGTGTGTGTACTTTTTCAGGCTCTGTCAATAACAGGATCTGAAGCAATAAAACCCCAGTACCAATAAACATAAGGAGTTCTGGTAGCGTAGTGGTTATGAATTGGGCTGTGAACCTCAAGGTCAGCAGTTTGAAATTACCAGCTGTTCCGTGGGAGAAAGATGAGGATTTCTACACCCATAAAGATTTACAGCCTCGGAAACTCTGCACAGGGTCGCTATGAGTTGCAACCAACTCCACAGCACTTCGCAACAAGAACCACTAAACATATCTTAACACCTACATCTTGATTTCTAAATATCTTGCTTCGGACAGAAAATCTTAATCTAAGTCTGAAACACCTTGCTAGGAAGTAAGGATCTTATTATCCAGGTGAGATTAAACTGACAACAGTAATTCACAAGATGAGAAGAAAAGCTTAGGGGGCATGAGCTTACGTTACTGATGGTAGAATAACTTGGGAAAGGACAATGAGAATGGACGCAGAACCTGAAGAATGTAATTAATGGCACTGACCTGTACATGTCGAAAGTGTTGAAAGGGTGTATCTTACGCTGGGAACACTTTCACAAAAACATTGAAAAATAATAATGAGGCATTATCAAAAGTCCCAAAAGCCAACATTAAGGGTTCCCACTAGGCAAAGCCAGAACAATTCAAACAAAATAAATGATGATGGAATCGGATTATAACTAAATCAAATCGGAAGTCCAAAATGATATAAAAATAATAAATAGGGAAGAAATGCAAGTTTTCCTTACAGGAGGATGCTAACTTAATCAATATATAAAGAATGATGAGATAGAAAACTACCATCTGACAACCATCATCCTAATAACTCACTTGGGTGAAACTCTTCAGTGCATGCTAAAACACATGAGTGGAAGTCCATTTAAGAACAGCACATTACACAACCCTAAAAATACCTTTCTACAATATGCTTTTAATTAAAAGGGAAAATACAGTAAAATCTACAAAAGCTGGAACCTGTGTAAGGTAGAAACCTTTCAGAGAAGAAAAAGTCAAATATTTTTACTTAATAGTGACAGAAAACTGGTAAGACTGAACTTTCTCAAAGGTAGAAAAAAAATCAGGGCAAGTGTGCGTGTGATGGTGTGTGTCCATAGTATGTCTATGTAACTGCTGTTGTTAGTGTGTGTGTGATGGTGTGTGTCCA